TGTGTGCGAGTGTGTGTGAGTGTGTGAGAGTGTGTGAGTGTGTGTGAGTGTGTGTGTGTGAGAGTGTGTGTGAGAGTGTGTGAGAGTGTGACAAAACAAAAGCAGACCATCGGTCCACCAGCAAACCGTTCAGTGGGTTTTGTAACGATGCTTGTCTAATTACAAGAGAAATGTATGTTTCTGGACTCACCCATGGGGCTGACCAGGACGATGCTCTGGACCGGAGCACACTGGCTCTTCAGAAGAACAGTCAGGAGCTTCACACCCCGCCAGCGCACGTGGAAGTCAAACTCCTACCGCAGGACACAGCAGGAATAAGAGACAAGACAGAAGTTCTGGTGGGTTCAGAAGGTCAGTTCTGGCTCACCTCCAACAGCGTGAGGAGAAGAGTGATATTATCTGGTTCCCCGATGAACTCCTCAGTGAACCGAGCTCCCAAATCATCCTCCTGCTTCTGCTGGTTCTCCTCTGAGAGAGAAAATGAGATGCAGAGAAACCCATTCTTTGCTTTGTTGTTACTTTTGTGGGTTACTTTAACATAAAAAATGCAGGGAGGAACAGACAAAAGAGGAGCTAGATGGGGAAAGATATCAAAACTAATATATTACACTGTGTGCTAAAACTGACCACACAAAAGCTGCAAAGAGCCAGTAAAGGAACTATATCCAGTACATATCTTATCAAGACTCCAGATGGAAAAGAAGTGTATCAATACAAAGAGCGATAGAATAAAGCACATCAACCCACAGGCTAGGAAACTAGAGATAAAACCACTAAACCACACACCAGTTAAAGCTCCACCTCTCCCACACAGTGAAAACTTCACACTAAATGTTATTAATATTAGGACAAGACGTGCAGTTTTCTCTCCCGTTTCCAATAGAAATCTGCTAAATATATGGTTCCCTATATTCAGAGGGAACGTTGCACCAAATCCAATTATTACTCAAATCATTGTTGTTTATTAATGCACAATGTTATTTATTTTATTCTTATGTAATCAGTGCAGTGGCTCAGGCTTTGTTAGAACTACGCTGCAAGATCTAGACTTTCTAAATGCTGCTGTTTTATGGAACTGTGAAAGCGGTCAAACTCGCTGAGCATCACACGCATAACGCAGGTTTTCTGGAAGCATGGATGGCTGGGGTTAGACAGCATCATGCACACAAAAGTGCTTTACCTTCAGAATCTTCTGGTGGATTAAACATGGAAAGAAAATAGAGGAGGATCAGATCAAACATAAACTGCAAGAGGAAGACTAGTATCAGACTGAAACCAGGTTTACGGACTGCAAGAACAGCTAAAAGAAAGCTACTCATTTGGAATAAAAGCTGACGATGTGAATTAGCCTACGGACATTGAACAAATCAATTAAAATCCCACCATGTCCACATCTGAACCAGACAGAATAAAGCATATAAACATACCTGGCTCCTCCTCTTCGTCACTGCAGACTATATTGTACAAAGTGTCCAAAGCATAACCTAGGATTTCAGTGTCTGTCCTGTTTCAAATAATCACCGAACACAAGTCATAATGTGTGATATAACAGGTTTTTTTTTTTTACAATGAATGTAATGTTTTTGAAACATACCGGTCACTCTGCAGTATTCGAAGCAAATGGTCCATAGCCATTGTGCCGACCTCCACACGGTATTTCTGCAATCAAACATCTACTTTACACATGTTCTACAAACAACTTATTTCTATATATATTAATATATAATCACATCACCTTTAAGGCATGTTCGTGATGTGAAAAACACGCTGCGGTTTCAGTAAGCATATAAACTACCGTGATATCAGGCTTCTCTGATGTTCAATTTTACAGCATTTGTTTGACAATCTTTTAATGCATAGTTTTAATTTCTTTCCACCCACAATACCTCTATTGCAAACATCAACATGAAAAAAGCATGAACCTTGGACAGAGACTTGATGGCACGGACCGCATCTCTCCGGTCCTCCAGCAGGGTTGATGAAGCCACGCGGTCACACAGTTTCTGAATCTGAATATAAACACAGCGAGTAAACGCCCCGACACTGCGTTAACATGATCCACACAGAAAAACTGCAGAAGAGACTTCCTTGAGTTTCCATCAGGTTTCAGCATTTACATCAACACTGTCTGAGCTGGGAGTGTCATACGGAAGTGTGCTTTCTTATTTATTTATTCATATTTCAATGACTGTGTGAATGTGAATGTGCACGCACACACACACACACACACACACACACA